GGACTGGGAACGAACCAGTTTTCTTCCCGTGCAAAACAGTGACTTGTGAGGACCTGGGGTCACACTCTGTGCATAGAGACATTCTACTAGTCAGGACTACTAGGAGACCCTTGGGAGCAACAGCTGCACTGCACTTAGATTCCTCCCCCCATCCTGCTCCAAGCTGCACCTCAACTGGTTGGCCGGTAGCCAGAGGACGCCAAGATGACGTCTATTGGACGACCGCTGGGACAGAGTTTGCAACAGAGTCTGTCAGCTGGTTTGGTGTTCGTGACGGGAAATCCAAATCCATACACAATGGATAAGTAAACCCCATGTTCTACATTGCATCTCAAGAATTTAATTGTTACCTCAACACAAGTTGTTATCAATTTAATTCAGTTTAATTTAATATCAATTTAATTTAGTGTAACAGTGGGTAATGACTCTGATTAGCGATTTGGTATAGCTGAACGGTATATTGAAGTATAGTCTCTTGTTACGTATCTCTTTGTGTTTGCATCTCTTCGAGATTATATACCTTGTATTTCGATAACCCTCACAGTAAGGTCTGCCGCCTGTATCCAGGCAGACTGATATATGTTTGGTGCACAATTTATGTTTAATAAATGTATCTCATGCATTGAACCTGTGTGTGTGTGCATTGTTAGTTGTTCTGACGATTGATTGTCTAAAAACCATAATGAACCACCTCGTGATTACTGCTACAATTAATAATTGTCTCAGTAAAATCACAAAACCCCTACAGTGTATTGCTTTAACCTATGAATATTCTTCATTCTGAATATATCATAGTATTTTTTAGCTCAAAATACTGTAGAAATCAAAGAGTAAAATGGACATGATGACCTCCTCTATTTCATAATCTTTCTGATGTTCATCAAAATTTAAAAACCACCATAAAGCAGAGAAAGTGTATGTGAGAAAGTGAGAAAGTTATGTGTGTAGGGCACAACAAAAAAAGTGAGCTGAACTCAGTGGAAACAACTGCATGAATCTTTCTCCCTCCTTCTGATTGTAGAGAAACATGATGACCCAGACAATGGCCACTCTGCTGCTTTTCATTGTGGTTGTGATTGCAGTGCCTCTGTTGGGACGCTGTCCACCTTCTGATGATGAGACCCCCTATCAGAAGTTCCTAAGACAGCATTACCATAGAGGAGGCATGAGTGTCAAAGTACTGAGTGTCTCAGTACCTGTCTGAACTGTTATCACTCTACTCCCCACCTTGCAACCTTCGCTCTTCTAATTCTGGTCTCCTAACTGTCCCCCAAGCCCATCTACTTTCTATGGGTGACAGGGCCTTCTCCTGTTATGCCCCCAAGCTCTGGAACTCTCTGCCCAAGGATATCAGAGAGTCATCTTCTCTAAACTCCTTCAATTCCAGACTCAAAACCTTCTTCTTTAGAAGAGCCTTTACTTAACTGGTTCCATTCTTTACCCCTCTGCTCCTACTGTACTTAGTACCACCATCCACAGTCTCCTCTGTGTATTGTAATTGTGTTTTATCTTGTGTATTCTTCTTCAGTTTCCATAAAGTTTGCAAAATAAAGGAGGTTGTGTGGTCAGACAGCAGATCTTCAGAATAACCACAACCCAGGGGAATATTGTAAAAAAGCCTCTGCGATGGTTGTGGAAGAAATACTGAGGAGCAGAGTGGCTTTCAAGGAGTATGTGACATGATAAGGACTAGTAGCACATTCTCCTTTCTAAGGAGGCAATCAGATCCATCCCAACTTGCTCAAAAGGAACCTCTATGAAATGCACGGATGACACAATAACAATAATTATACCTAAACTAAAGGTTCACCTAAAGAGAAATTAGATAATAAAGAATAGTGAAAATGGAAAACAACAGACACACAGAGCATACAGGTATATTTAGACATTCAGAAGGCAATTTTGACAACGTTCTCCCTAATTTCTTAAATTAAGGTGGTAGGCAGTCATATAGTAAACTTATCATCAAGCATTTTATGGATAATTAAAAAAGGACTGCAGAATTACTGCCTGTCACTCCTCTCAATAAAAACTGTAAAGGAAGAAGTATCTGGAAGCCTTCAGAACATCCTTACAAGACAACAGATGTTCTTCAGAATTCTGTGAACTGTATTAAAATTATAAACTCACTACAGCTATTGCCTCTCTGTCATCACAATTTAGCAGAAATAAATGGATTTGCAATCAGTTATTTTTATAAGGATTCTCTTCACTCATTCTGGGATTTACCTTCTCTATGAGCTCCTTGACTATTCATTCCATATAAACCTGTCTTAATTTTGCAACAAGTGTGTATAGAGACCACTGAGGGTCAAAGTTGTCAACAAACCTAATGTATAATCTGCTCAGTTTTGAGGGTGAGTAAAAAAGATTGGCTTGGCTTTGGAAATGTCTGTTTATTTTCTCATCTCTTAGAGGTAACATACAAACATTTGTCAGCTTTGGAGTTTTCCAGATGAAGGAATTCTGGTACAATATAAATTATTTTCCTGGGTTTGTGTAGGGGCCTGCCACTAATGGAAAGTTTTCAATATGGTTCAATGTTTTTAGTATTTTAGTTTTTAGTATTATTTCTGATTTATGTTCAGATAAAATCAGCATTTGTTCAGAAAAATAAAGTCTGACATTTTCTGAAGCAATAAAGCAAAATTGAATGATACTTTTGGTTGATTTAGGCATAGTGATATTCTGAAAAGTGAACATATATATATATACAGTATATAAGGTATAATGGGCAGCAGTGGTTAGCATTGCTATCATGCAGTGCTGAGGCACTGTGTTCAATTCCTGGTGTACTACAGTATATACATGGTTTGTATGTTCTCCCTGTGTTACTGTTGGATTCCTCCAAGCGCGCTGGTTTCCTCCCTAAGTCCAAAGACAGACTGGTAGTATGTCTGGTGGTTAATTGGCTTCTGGGAAAACTGGCCCTGGTGTGAGTGTGTGTGTCTGTGTGCACTGAGACAGACTGCTGTCCCATTCACCCTGTCTTACACCCATCACCTGCTGGGGGACGCTCGAGCTTCCCCCTGATTCTGTGTTACTATGCCACCCCATTTCCACATTATAGAGAGAAAAGTATAAAACAATGAATTTCCATTCCATAACTATTTGTTCTAATACAGAGTTGAAGTGAGCTGGATTCTAACCTGCCAGTCAATGGGCACAAGGCAGGATACACGTTGAATGGAACAAAATTCTGTAACTGTACATACAGTGTACTGTAGGTCTCTAATTCTGGAAATTAAATGCACCTAATGTATTTGTGA